AAAACTATCTGATTCCATAATTCAGAAATATACCTATATTATACCACCTAATACAAGTAATTTTTTTTTGATTTATATAATTCTACATACTACATATATAAGATATTGGCAGTGGATGTTTTATATGGTGTATTCTCAAAAGTGTGGCATCCTCTATATTTACTCGTACCATTAGTACATGCGTCAAGAGTGCAGTGTGGCACAGTATATTTGATTGATGAAATAGAGGACAAATATATAAAGATTTTAAAAGACATACAATATTTTTAAGATAAAATTATTCTAATAAATGATGCTCAAAGAAATAAAGTACTAAAAGACAAATGACAATGTAATAATTAATTTTTTTCGTGCCAATAAAAAAATAACCAAGTACAATAAATAAATCATTTAAAAATACTTTTACATCAGTATAAAGTAATCATGTATATTCTCATTATTCTGACCATGACCGAAATTAGACAGTAAAAATAACTAGTAGTAGGTAGAGCTATACATAAAACGCTACATGTCTATTAGAGAAAGAAAACATAGGAACATAATTGTTTTAATCTTATCATGAGTATACACTTTTAGAAATGATTGGCATTAAATCACGTGAACATGACATTTTTCTGCGGTGATACTGGGAAGTTATTAGAATAACAGCTGAACGTATTGTATTGTATATATATTGTACTGTACATAAACTTTGTCTTTGAGTGATTTCCTTTTTAGGAATGGAATAAACTAATTTATACTAAAAAAATTTTACTAACCATTTACTTTAACTGATAAACTTTTTTTTACTTCGCTCACAGTAAAAAAAAACTTTGCAGTCTTTTACTTTTTTACTCTGTCAATAAAAAAATTCTTTCATTTTATTTGTACTTTCTCTATTTTAATTACCATTATTACACATTATCAAATATGAAAATTTTAATATTTCATTAAAAAAAACAATTTATTAAAAAAAAAAAAAATTTTTAATCCTGTATAAATATCAAATATCCAATATTGATACGTGACCAAATTGAATAAATTCATTCTGATGGAAAAGTATAATACTAAAAACTTTCTTTACTCTCTAAATAGCACACTTTATTGAAATAAAATTATTAAAAACTTTTACATTGCCTATGAACTGTTAACAAACTGAACTTGAGCAAGTGAGAATAAGTAAAAAGAGAGAGAAGATAGACCTAAAAAAGAAAATGAAAAAAAACCAGATAAAACACCGTCAAACTCTATTGAGAAGGGAAACAAGTGAATATTCTGCTGCAGTGCGGCTGTTCCCACCTTAGTCAAAGGTGCGTAAACCAAAAGAAGAATGATGTGAGAATTTTTTTTTATTTATTCGTTTAAGAGAGCATTGATTTTTTTTTGTAAAAATACTGGGTTTAACGGACTGGATTTGAGAATTTAATGGAAGATATGGTGTAAGTATATATTAGCTGGATTTCTTTTTTTGATTTGAGAAACATATTTATATTCCTTTTTTTTTCCTACAGAAATGCAAAGATTAACGAACTGGACTTATTGAAGAGAAGATAGGTATAAATTAGATGGGAAATTTCGTATTTGTTATTTGTTGGTGAAATGTTTTTTAATGATTAATTTCTTTATTTTTGTAGGTAATACGATCAATCTCTACTAGGGAAGATTCTACTAACAAAATGAAGTGATCATATTGCTTAATAAAATAAAGACATTTACCACAATGATACTGTATCAACAGCCAACTAGATATTATGGTACACGTACAACTAACTCCTCTGTAACCCGTGGTATCAGTATTTAAGGGATTTTCATGGCCATAATAATTTAGGATTATTAGGTGATATTGTATTCGAATTATTAGAATTTAATAAGGAAATCATGTCTTTGTTGTTGTGTAATATTAAAAATAAAAATTTGTTTACAATAAATTTACAATTTACGAATTTATAATATTAAATAATGATTATATAAAATATACATACAATAAAATTTATTGAATGTTAAATAAAAAAATTATATAATTCTATATAGATATATTTTACACATAAAATCAGATTCACATGAAATCCATGTTGGGTCCTTAAAACTACATAGAATAGTACATGTAGATTTTACATATATTTTTTCACATAAATATACATAGAATATAACTCCCGATGCGGTTGGCTTTTTTCCAATCCAAAAAAATTTTTTCCCCTTTTCTTTTTTCGGTTTGGCTTTTTTCAAACCGAATTTTTTTTCCCGAATTCATTCTTTCACCAGGATCGATGCTGCGTCACTACGGCAATTTTACTATTAATAATAATTTAGGCTGTATCAAGCTCAATAATAGACTACATAATTATTTATTTATCTTTGTAACAATAGATCGTTATAATTAATATTTCTGGGGAATTTTTTTTTTTCATGTCAATAGATCGTTATAATTAGTTTTTCTGGGAATTTTTTTTTCATATTAATTAGTGAGATATTTTTTTTCTATAACAATAAATTGCACAATGAATTTCGTTGAGATATGGTAACAATATACAACGGTGTGCAAAAAAAATGACAATTTTTAAAATTGAGATAGTCATACAACTAGTGTTCCGAAAGGGTTGAATCGGGTCGGATTTGAGGATATATTTGAACTCGACCCGACTATAAAAACCAACCCGCACAAATACCCAGGTTGATATTTATATAACCCGACCTCTGACCTGACCCGTTATAGTTTAACCCCCAGATGACCCGGTCAAATAAAATTTTTAACAAATTTGTTCATGATCACAAGACAATAGTATATGTATGTCGCACAACTTTTACAAAAAGCGATTTTGATAAGTTTTATTTAAATTTTTATTATAAAGTTATAAAACACATAATTCTTCCTTACTCCCACCATGATTTCAAAATCATACAACCCAGTAAATAGTTTTTGTATAAATTTGTACCAAATGGGCTCATCCATATATAATTGGCTCTAGATTGGCTAAAATTTGGATTATTTTTTGCATAAATTTGAGCTAATTTTGAGCCAATGAGCCCGTTTGGTATAAATTTATACAAAAACTATTTACTGGGCAAGTACGAATTGTATTTGTTTTGAGATTGCTTCTTTTTGCTGCTGTTATCAAATCAGCTCCACCGGAAAAGATCCGTTCTACTGGCAAAATCATTTAATTAGTTAATATTTAGCAATATTAAAAATAGATAAATTACCTGCCACTGCTGCTAGGTATGAATACTCTACTTCATTTTTATTAATAAATTAATAAGATTAAATAATATAACTTCTTACATGGTAGAACATCTTGATTTTGATCTGCTCAAGGATTTTTAAATACATTTCTACTTCATTTTGTTGGTAATTTACTTTTACCAAAATATGATCTAAGAATCTATCATGTTTTCTCATTTTATACACAATACTCGTAACGTAGATATATTACTCTGAAATATCCTATTAAAACCCGGGTCAGCCTGGGTTAAGCAAAGGCATGACCCTGACCCGACGAGTAGGGTTGAAAACAGGACTCAGATCAAATAATGATAAACCTGATTCAGATTTTAAACACGAGTCGGATCAAATGACCCGGGTTTGACCCGACCTTTCAGAACACTAGTTGTGATATTAAATTTACAAAATCAATTACAAGGCTATTTTGTATTCTTTTTCTTAACTCTTCATTTAAAAAACTTTTAAATTCACTAAGGTTTTTTAGCTCATACAACTCCACATTCCTTTTAATAATTGCCCCATGGTTTTCAATAAGTTTTAGATCTAAATTATTAAAGATCAATCCATATCCTCAAATATATTATTTTCAAAAGATTACTTAATAAAACAGCTAAAATAACTAAAATGCTATCTTGCTAACAATTTTTTTAAGTTTCAGTGATAGTTTTATGTGGAAACTTTATTAATAAGTATATTTAAGTAGCACTGTGTATTTTCTGTCTTTGGAAATGTAATCTTATTCAATATTAAGTTTTTTGCCTGGATGAGATCACTTTAAAGTTCAATAAACTAAAATTTTTATTAAAGTATAGGAAAAGTTTACTTGAAAATAATATTTAATTATAAAGGCTTTCATTTGCATATTTATTTATATATCTATATAACTAAATCTATATGACTAAAAAAATACATAAAAAAATCGCAACGTTTAGACTAGCATGTATAAATAGTTTAAATTGTGTAACTTGAAATCCTACGCCATATAATTAAACCCGTGACATGCCTCCGCCTGATCTATTTATGGTTAAAAACTAATCGATCCATGTTGCATTCCAATCAACTAATCCAATTTCAGAAATTTTATCTTTAAATCAGAATTTTTTTTTCCGATTTTTTTTTCAAATATTTTTAGCTTTTTTTGGTTCCTTTTTTTTAAATTTTTCATCTTTTTTCATACCGAAAAATTTGATTTTTCTCATTCTTTTCCCCAAACTGAAAAAATTATCCTATTGTTTCGGTCTTTTAAGACCGATTTAGACCATATTGTTATTTTTTTAAAAAAAAATTTTTTTAACTTTTTTTTGCACTGAATTATTTCAGAATTTTTTTGGTATTTATTTTTTTCAGATTTCTTTTTTTTTTGGAAATTTCCATTCTTTTAAACTGAATTCTTTCTTTATCCTTTTTCTTTCCCCCAAATTTTTTTTAATTTTTTTATTATTAAATAAAGATATAAAATATTGTACTATATATATTTGCAAAATTATTATTTTTTTAAAAAAAAATCAAGTAACATGTAGGAAGATTGGCCGACGTGATGATTTAAAAGGTTTTCAATTATAGCTGTTTTCAAAAAGGTGTGTTCAGATGATTTTCATCATGTATATATATATGGGAAATCAGGAAATCAGAAATCAGATTACAAATCAAATTTAAACTTTTTTTTTATCTTTTATCAAAACTTCATTATTTATATAACCCGTAAAAAAAAATAAAATTTTTATCTTTTTATCAAAACTACTTTCGTTTACATTATTTATATAACCCGTAAAAAATAAAAATAAAGAATCTTTTATTAATAATGGCCGATACACAAGGTATAAAGCTCAGGTATAAAAGAGGAACTTGCTTTGGATGCCAAAAATGTTTATATTGTGGAGTTGATTTACAGCAACAAAAGTGCAAATGTAAAACTTCTACGATACCTAATAAAAAAAATCGAACTACTGCTGTCAAGTATGCTTTTACACTAATTTTTAGTCCTGATTGGACAAAAGATAAATTTTCTTTTATTCAAGAGAAAGCGCTGAAATATAATTATTTGATAAACCTGAAAAATACTTTCAACCTTTCACTTTGTTCAAAGTGTAACAACACCTTATCAAGATTAACTCCCAAAAATTCTAAAAACATCAAATCTATAGTGAAACCAACCGAAACTCTTCCTAATCTAGAAGTATCTCAGAATACACAATCAAAGCCAGAAGTATGTGATCTTACTATATTAGATCTGTCTCTTATACACATCTAGATGTGTATAAGAGACAGATATTAGATGGAGCATCAACACAAAATTCATTGGAGACTTTAGAATCTGATAAAAATAGTGAAGATAATGCATATTCTGCTGATGATGACTTTGAATACGAGTTTCAATATGGAATCTTTATAAAATTGGATGGAAAGCTTCAACCAGCTAAATGGTATAAAGTTGTAGTGTCTGGGATAGACGAGTTTCTTGCAGAGATTCATACCAATGTAGTCACGTTAACACAAAATGAGTCAATCGAAGCATGTGACTATCATGTAGCATTCAAATCAGAAAAAGCCCTAGGAGCTGGAACTCAATTAGTTGATGCTCAGGATTTTCAGAAATTCTGTTTAGATTATTCTAAGTTCAAAAAGAGAAACACCAATATGGGAATCTTCATAACTATCAAATCTCAAGATCTAAATAAAAATAAACGTAAAAAGAAGGTAGTATATTTATTTGTAAGTTTTAATTTTAATCTTGATTGAACTAAAACTAACTTATATTGTTTAGGATATTTGTTCTGAAACTGAGACTGATATAGATAATCCTGCTGAATAGCATAAAAATAAAAATCGGGTTTCAAAAACATCTAGTCTTACATCAGAAGAAACACAAATAGCAAAAAATGTTTCAGAAATTTGTACTATTAACCATTGCAACATTCATAATCGGGCTTGTTTAAACAGAGATAATAGTAAAGAAAACCATGTTGAAATTACTTTTATGATGCTTTCAATTTGGGCATCTGAAATGGTAATTTTGTTATTACACCATATAAAATAAATGAGAGCATTTATTTATTTTATTATTAATTACAGAACAAAGGATTGGCAACACCAATGAATCCACCAACACATCCATTATTTGCATACCGGCATCCATCTAAAACAAAACCATCTTATTTACAACCATCAGCAGAAAATTCACTTTTACCATCAAGCTCATACATACCGTTTTCATTATACAATTCATTGCAAATGTTTCCAGCACCTTATACTGCTCATGTTTTAGAACAAACACCTACCATGACTACAAAATTACCTACGATTAGCGATTTCTTAAAACAAATAGATGACAATGAAGGTACAAATAATTATTATCAGAGTTTTTTAGAAGGATTAGAAAAGCAAAGGATTTCAGTGCTAATACTTTCAAAGTTATCAATGGAAGAATTTAAAATATGTGGAGTAGACACTATCTGCGTACAAAAAACTCTTCTTGATTATGCTAAAAGATATAATAATATTTCATTATACAACTAATCCTTTAATGTAAATTCTTTATTTGTAACCTGATCCATTAAAAAATGCATTAGAAAGTGATGGATAGATTTGAGAGCAAGCAACTAATAAAGGATATATCGGGTCTGAACAGCTTTCTATGAAATAATTATATTTTCTCAAATAACTTTTTATGTATGAAAAAGCATTTTCAATAGGATTAAGATCTGGTGAATATGGTGGTAGAAATTCTACACGTACACCAAATGCATCCAAATATTCTAGTAATCCATCATCATGATGGATTCTTGCATTATCTAAAATTAGAACACTTCTTGCTTGTGGATATGAATTCATCTGAGGCAACTAAAAAATAATAAATTGGATTATTTAATTGTTAATAAAAATAATAAAGTCAAATTATTACATACCACTTGAGAAATTACAAATTCCTTAAATTTCTCCTTCTTACAACCACCTTCCATAATGTCCACAGCAATAATACCATCTAAAGAAAGTGCTGGTATAAGTGTATAATGCTTCCCACGAATAAATACAACTTTTTTAATGGCTCTTGTATTGATTTCTGAATAACCTTATCTACGCGAAATTGTTCGATCATCTTTTGCTGATTCGTCTAAGAAAATTAGTTTTTCACGTTGGTATTGAATTCCTATACGTGCCATAAAGGCACTGCGAAGTAATTCATTACGTTCTTTGGCTATTTTGTGTAGCTAAAAATAAATAAATATATGAGAAAACTTGTTATATTTGCATGATATAAAATGAGATAAAAACCTTCTTTCGTGTTATTCCACAATATGCCAATGATTTCCAAAGTGTAGGTATAGAAACATGTTTACCACTTTGGACTTCCATTTCCTGGTCAATTTCACCAAGATACAAATCTGCATTTGTCTGAACTATACCCCGCAGTATCTGTTTATAAAATTTTATTAGTTACATAACAAAATTATAGCTATATATGTTATCAATACCTACATTCATGTCATTATAATCGAAAGTTTTGCGTCGTCCTGGTATTTTTCTCCAGGGGTTTTCTACAGTTTCCCACTTTATATACAAGTGAAGTATTTTGTTTATTAGGCTTATACTGACATAAAGAATTTCGGAAATTCTTCTCTTAGAATAGCCATCATTTTTAAGATATATTATACGCCACTTCAAATCACTACTGTATGTTGGAGGCATTTTGAAAAAGAAACCTTTAAATTTTTACGAAAATATTGAGATTAATTCGATTTTAGCTTGATATAAGGTTCAAGACAGGGTTGTAGTAACAATATTCACCAGGAAATCTTTATTGTTACAAAGTTTAATCAGGACAAAGTTTTGAAAAGGGCGGAAATCTTGGAAATCACGCGATTTTCCCATGATATAATGATCTACATCTGAACACACCTTTTTGAAAACAGCTATAAATTGAATGCTGGATAAATAGTCTGATTTTCAAATTCATAAAAATCAAAAAAAAAATTGATATTTTTACAATATTTTATAATTTAATTAATTGAAGAAATTGATGATTTAATAATAGATTATTATAACTGATAACCAAATCCATATCCGAAATTCTCTAAATAATCACCAGATTTTTGAATAAAGATTTTAATTCAAATGATTTAGTTAAATTAACAATTTATCAAGTAAAATGAGTAAAATGAATATCAAAAAGAATAATAATAAATGAAATGAACAAATTCTAACACATTTAATTCTTCAAATATTTTCCTAACTGCTCAAGAAGCTACGCAAATCGCTCACAAATTATGCTCGAACATTCAGGAACAGAATATTTGAGCAATTCTGATTATGAACAATATACTGAAATAATAAGAAATAATTATAAAATTTATAATTAATTAATAAAAATATTAAATACTTCTAAAAAGTTAATCAATTTTTATTGATAATTATTTTTTTACAATTCCTTAATTAATACGAATTTCATTCTACATTTCTACGCTTAAATGTCAAATCATTTATATAAATAAATACATTACTGTAAATATGTCACATGATGTACAATATATAAAGAGTAAATTTATTAATCAGCTGACGGCTGATTTTTTCAAACTTAGCTAATTTTAGATCGGCTAAACTTAAAAATTTTATCGCAAAGATCTATTTAAAAAAAAATTTTTTTTTTGCAAACATATTTATCCAAAATAATCTTATCTAATGAAATTTTATTTGCAAATATTAAAATTTAAATCACACATTTACGATTTTAAAGAAAAAATCACTGTATTTATTTTTCAATGAAGTGATACAAATAAAAGAAAAGATAGTAAATTACAATGATCAAGAAAAAAGATGCTAATAAAAAATGAAATAACAATGGAGTAATGAGAAGTAATAGAAGATGAAAGGGAGTAAAAAAAGTAATGAGAAGTGATAGGAAGCAAAAAGGAGAAATAGGACATGATGGGAGATGAAGAGGAGTGATGGGAGATAAAGAGGAGTGATGGGCGACAAAAAGAAGTGATGGGAGATGAAGAGGAATGATGGGAGACGAAAGAATGGAATAATGAGAAGTAATAGGAAGTGAAAAACGATGAGAGACAAAAAATAAAAAAATGATCATGATAGGAGGTTGGGTAACAAAAGATAATGATAGGAAACCAAGTAAAAATAAACCATAAATTAAAAAAAGTGAAGTTAGTAAGAAACGAAATATAAGATAGAAACAAAATAAAAAGATAAATAAAAAATAAAAAACATACCTTTATTAATTGTAGAACCGAAAGAACTAAAAGATCTAAAAAAAATGAAATAAAATTAGTGAAAAACGAAATATGAACCAGAAACAAAAACGAAATGTAAAGTGAAAAATAACTGAACCTTAATTGCAGAACCAAAAGGACTAAAAGACCTAAAAATAATGAAATAGAGTTAGTAAGAAACAAAATGTAAGGATGTAAGTTAGAAATAAAAATAAAAAGAAAAAAAGAAAAATACCTCGAGACCGAAATAACTGAGAAAACGAATCTTGAACCTATAATGAAAATGAGATTCGATAAACAAATAAATATGACGCGATCATGTGGCCAATCTGGCCAATCAAAAATATTAAATCTGCCGCATGATCAAAGACCCAGGCGATACCCAATATAATTTATATCATTCTAATATTATAATTATAATTTAGTACATATTCTTTTATTAATTTATGTTAACTATTATTACCTATATTAAATTCCTAATTATAAACAAAAAACTGCTGTAACTATCTTTAATTTAATTATAATACTAAAATTTTATATTTTTCTATTTAAACAAACTCATTGGTAGTGTTGTTAAGTACAAGTCAAACTGAACCAAGCCAAACTGGACTGATGGAGTCGACTTGGTTTGACTTAAAGATTTTTAAGTCATGGTCCAGTTCGGTTCAACTTGACTTGTCAAGTTGATGGGATCAAACTGATGGGGTTGATGGGGTCAATAGGCAAGTTGATGGGACAGATGGAAAGTCAATGGGACTGATATTAATGACCCCATCAGTTCAACTTGGAGGTCCAAGTCAATCGGTTTGGTTTGACTTTGGCTCCAAGTTGGACCAACCGGACCGTTAAAAATACTACTCATTGGTCCCAAATTGAAATTGATAAAAATGATGGTATTAATTATTTTTAATGCTACAATGGAAATTTTTTTTTAAGATAAAAAAAATGATTTTTTGTAACAATGTAAACAATAAATTGTTATACAAAATTGTCTTTGTAATGAATTTGTAAATATATAAATAAATCATAAATTTCACAGTACTGCAACATTTGTTTCGTGTGATAAATAAAATTTCATTTAATAGTAATATTTCATATACTGTATAACACTCGCACACAATTCATCGTTATTTGCATAAGCATATACTGTAATTATTACATTTATTCCCTACTAATGCCATCATAACAATAGTAGAAAACTAGACCAGGACCCCGAAATATATATGTAGAGGTCAGGTCCAGAAGTGGTCCAAAATACGCATTCTTTCAGGGCCGGAATTACGATAATTTCAGCCATTATCTAAATTAGGAAATATTATTTTGGCTGGGATTATCCATAAAAGGAATGATCTACATGATTTTTTGACTCATTATACGCAAACTCTGACCTGACCCTTTTATGTATATTTCGGGGGTCCTACTAGACCTATTCACACTGCATGGCAAATAAAACATAAGTGTGCTATTATCACTCTCTTCCAGAGCCGCGACGGGTTACGCTAGTTTATTACCAAGTTCAGCTGATCACGTGATAAAAATCATGATGGTCGCCTAAATAGTTGATCAACAATTTTCAGAGACCGGATACGTAAGAAATTCCAAGATCAATAAATAGTGTGATGGGGTTAAATTCATGCAGATGTATTCTGGATAACAGCAAATTGTAGCTTTATTTATCACAACGATTTTCTAGTACTTTATATAGAATAAATGCATCAATATACCCAAAAAACCATAAAATGCAAGCAATTCGTAATGACAATTATTTTATTCTGGTTTTTTATTGTACATTATAATTTTACTACAAGCAATAAGAAAAAGAAAAAGACAGATTAATAAAAGGGATTTGCAAACCAGTTTTTGAGTTATTTTTAATATAGGGATATATTAACTATGATTCACATGCTTAAAATTTAAAGTTAAATAGTCAAAAATCTTGCTTCTTTTCTATCCCACCATCAACATAATCAATCACTGCGTTTTGCAATCTTAATTCTTCTATTCGTTTCACACATTGCAAGTACTTTATCATAAATTATTCTGACCGTGCCGTCATACAGTAATATAACCTTCGTGTGCGCTTCAAATTAACACTGGCAAAAAATTTTCTTGTTGGATCAGTCATAATGATATATGCCTTTGATGATCATATCAGAACATTTTCTTTAAAGATACGAGAGGCTTATACGTATCTTTTTTCATAACGCCTCAACGAATTTAGCTGCAAGAACTAAATCAAGTATTCATATATCTTACTTGAAGAATAATCATATAAAATTTGCAAAGAAACTCTGACACATTGTTAATACATGCAAACAAAGTACTCATAGGTGTACTGACTCGCACTTATTCCTCCTATTAAACTCTTTGTTGCAGAATTCGTGTTCCTATGGTTAATTAATTTTTGTTTAACAGAAAAAAAAACAGAGTTAAGATATGAAGGCAAAAATAATTAATTTTCACAGATTTGTAAGTATCTCAAAATTTAATCTCAAAATCTTGAAATTGAAACAAGAAATTTATATGATATCATATATTACTCATTTTTACTAATATTATATTTGTAATTTTGTATATAACAGCCATAATTAGCTATAATTATGAAGTGTTATTATTGGTTAATAAACAAGTTCAATAAATGAGGCTAATCATGGTAATATTTCTAATATAAAAATTTCTAATGTTGGCATTTCAAATGCTACGAATACTGTTAGGTTTTAATGTATATAATAGAAATAAAATATTAAATAAGCCAAGTAAGTTAAATTAAACCAAGCATTACATGCAAAATTATTATCAATACTATAATTAAAATTTGGAATTTATAAATATATCAATTCTTTTGCAAAACGAATTTGAGTGAATGAAACTTGATATTTTGCAATTGTAGCAAAAAAATTAGATATAAAAAAACTTTACGTTTCAAATGTGTACATTCGTTTTTGAGATTGTGGCCATTAATCTCTATATATCAGAAATCTTCTATTAAGGAATTTGGATAGTGCATGTTTGTTTCAAACCACTCAAAAATTATTGGCAATTATTCTTATTTGTAAATTATAAAGAATGATTCATTCTCAGTGATTTTGAAAACTTAATAATTACGAAAAGTTCTTTAAAAACTTGATTCCATCATTGTTATTAACAATATTAAATAATTATTGGATGGGGAGTAGCTATATCGGTCACAGGACCGAATGATTGGACAAAATGGGCCACGTAGCCTCATATCCAATAAAAGTGTTAATCGAACTGACGTTTTTGATTATGCATTAACTAATAACATCATAAATAATTTTATTTAACTTTCTATAAATTTCATTTTTATGTTATTTTTAGCCCACTTTATAAGCTTTTCCTACAAATTATTCATATACACTATACTTTTTTACTCCACTTTATTATTTCAATCATGTGTGCCTCAGTCTACGATAACAAATATTAAATACCATCATTTTAGTAAATCTAAAATGGAGTAATTAAAAACTTTGACTTAATTCTAGGAATAAAAATATCTTTTTAATTTTTAATTTCTATAGATTTTATTTTCTCACTACTTTTGAACCTTAACATTTAGCAGATAGTTCATATACATATAATAGGAAGTATTAATAAAAATTTTCTTTTACTTAATACTTTAAAAATAAAAATCTTGTAAATATTGGAAATATATATATTATTGAGAGAGCTAATTTGAGAATTTCTCAAAATTTTATTTTAACAAAATTGTTTAACGTTAAAATGAAAAAATGAAAATTTTAAAATTTATATGATTTTTGCAGATTTAGAGTTATTATCCAAATTTATAAAATACTCAACGTTTTAACTATTTTATTTATTTATTTTTTTTTAAAAAAAAATAAGAATTATATATTTAGAAGAAATTTATAGACTTCTTGCTGATACTTTTAGTAAGCGAAAAAATGAGGCAATTTTTTCTCAAATTAAGCTAAATTATGCTAATCGGCAAATGGTAACTTAAAAGATCATCTGTAAAAGTTAAACTTTTATATTAAATAAAAGATCCAATGTCAAAGTTATTTATTAAAATTTCAAGTTAATTTGGCTAAAAATTAATGGATTTATCTATAAGGGAGTAACAGATTTCATATGATTTTTTTTCGTAAAAAAAATTTTGAGTGATAATATTTATATTAAATACTCGTCGAGATTTTTCAATAATTTGATTAAAACCTACAATCGAGTTTGCGTAGTAGATCTTTTTTTTTGGATAATGCCAGCCAGAGTTTTGTGATACCCTAAAATCATCTACTGGAATTGTGCGTAGAGCTAATCGCCGATCACTCGTTACCTCTTTATCTCCAATTATAGGCGGATCAGCAATTAATGAATCACAAAAATTTTGTGATCAATTTTACTGGACTTAAATTTACCATATATATTATAGTGAAACATCATTTATGGGAATTTTTATATAAAACGTACTAACATTATTTATTTGTTTTTTTTTTCTCCCTATTATTATTTCTATTTTCTTTTTTTTGGAGAAAAATGTTCAAACTTAATAAAGATACACTTTTTTTGATATTTGAAGAATTACAAGATGATCCACAATTCCTCTTTTCATGCCTAATGGTTAATAAAATTTGGTGTGAAACTGTGATTCCAATTTTATGGAGGAATCCTTGGTGTTATTTTATTAGTTATAAAAAAAATTCTTTATACTCCATTATTACTTCTTATTTATCCAATGATATCAAAGAATACTTAAGAAAGAAAGGAATTCTAGTTTCAGACCGATCACTTGCATTTGATTATTTGTCTTTCTGTATAAGTATCGATATGGAAATTATAGACATTATCATTTCCGTTGGATCATCATCAGAATATAATAAATTTCTTTTACAAGAGGAAATTTACAGTTTCTTGATAAATAAATGTCCGGAAATAAAGTACTTAAGTATATTTGGTACCTATGATATAGTATATCTTCCAGAAGCAAAGGTTCGTCTTGAATCACTTTGTGAATTAACTTGTGACACATTGATTGATCCTAGATACTTTTACAGATTAGCAAATATCTGTCAACAAATACAAAGAATTAACATTATTAACAAAAATTTAAAAGCTAATCAGGGAACTATTAAGCTAATCGAATTTCAAAAAAATTTAAAATATTTTAAATGGTTAGATGAGTTTGAAGTAGAAGATGGCTTTTGTTACTGGGAAGTATTAGAAGACCCATATACAGGAATTTTTAACGTATTAAAAAAACATGCAAATACTCTTAATCATCTTGAAATAAGCCTTCAGTTTGATAACCATTATGATAACCATTATTCCGACAATTACAATATTCATAAGTATGATTATTCGTTTTTACAATATACGCTTTTGGAATTTGATAATTTAAAAACATTAGAAATATGTTCCCCTCCATTTTTAGATACTTATGATTTTATTGTAAAAATGGAAATGATGGCTTATCATGACCTTGAGATCTTAAGGGGTTTTGTAGATATTTGCCAAGTTTCTT